GCACGATATTCTAATTTTTCGAGTTTCACCTGTATACAACTTTTGCTTTCCATCAAGTTATACAAATTCATGTACTTGCTTTAATTTTTCACTGTTTATTTCACAATGATTGCAATCTTTTACTCCATATTTTCTATCCAATACAGCTGCCCTGTTCTTCAGTACCACAGTTTTGAAATCTAAACAGTCTATTTGCAAATCAGCTTCTCAGCCAACAGCATGATATTATTTGCATATAAAAGTATGCACACATTCAGGTTTCCAATCAACATATTTCTAATGTCACCTAAACTTACATGTTTATCCATTATTTTTTTAAACAATCTAGGGAAGATCACACATCCTTGTCTTACTCCCTGCTCAGTATTGAACTATTTGCTAAGCATTCTGTTTATTCTCACACATGCTTGGTCCTTTCCTGCTGTTTTTTAGCATCTAAATGAAGCCAGTAGGGGTGGCCATCCAAAGCATAATAACAATATGCTGATGATACCCAATAGTAGTAGTATTACTATTTTTATTACGTGTGTGTTTACATCTAAGTGCAGCACGAGACCTATTTTTCCCCTCACAACAACAAACCTGTGAAGTAAGTTGGGCTGAGTGAGAGAGACACTGGCCTAAAGACACCCTGTGAGCTTCCATGGCTGAAGGTGGCCTAGAAACTGAGTCTCCTCATTTTCTAGCATTTAAACACTATACCACATAAGCATAGTTAATTCATTATTCATTATGATTTTTTTCTGTTACTTTGGTGAATTATTGTGGTTTTTACATAATGTACTCTGGATGTTTTCAAAATTGTTTATATCTTGTGAATGTCACGGGATTATGGCAGGATATTAGTGGAATGAAATCATTCAGTTAGTAAGAGATATTAATTACACATACACACATATCACTCTTGTCATATTTGGTAACCAACCTTTAATTCCATATTTGTGCAGAATTTCCTGTGTTTCAAGCCTGTGCACTTTATCAACAAATCAAAATGTATAAGCTTTCTTTCTCACATTCATACATTTCTCAGTGACACGCTGAAGAGAATGTATCTCATCTGTAACCATCCCTACCCAACCCCTGAGAAAGTCACAAGGCATTTCTCAAATTGTGTTCATTGTCACCATGCTTCCCTTTCAGTAAGAATTCTACCAAACATCTTTCCAAGCTTCCCGAGTTTAACAAGTAACCCCCTGTAATTTTTGTTTTCACTCTTATTCTTTTTTTCTTTGTGTAACAGAACAGTAATGGCATTCTTAGGCATGAAATTCAGCTGGGTGACTTTGGGCAGTCACTCTCTCTTAGCCCAATCCACCTCACAGGGTTGTTGTTGTGGAATATATATATATAAAATAAAGGTGGGATAAAAATATAATAATAATCATTCTTCCAGTCATCAGGCACAAATGAAATCTTCATGCATACATAAACAAGTCACAGAGCCAGTTCATAAGCAAACCACTTTCATATTCTAACATTTTTAAAGTTACATTGTCTACACCTGCAGCCTTACCATTTTTCAACATTTTCACAAGATTTATGCACATTCAGGCCATTGTTGACTTCTGGCACCAACTTAGTATCTCTGCAAATTCACAATTTGTCACCCATCTCATTTCCAGTAGCATCCAAAAGTACTTTTGATCATGAAAAAAATACAAATAGAAGAATGAGAGAAATGGCACAATAGCACTTATGCTAAAAAGAAAATATCAGTGTGTTGCTGTCTGTGGATGCTCATGCATAGTCTGCTTAGAGAAGTACACATTTAAGAGAGAATCTGAAGTATTATTATACCTGAATAGTTTGCTTTGTAAATTTATATGCACTTTGAATATATAGAAACACTTTATTTAATGTGTGATTTATATATTTGTTGCTCATTGTTAAAACACAATATTGCCTTATTTTATACAGTATTATAAATACTTGATATTCTGATATAGAAATAATGTCTATAACTTATAATACAGTATTGTATGAATATGATTTGAAGTTGGCTTTAAATAATTTAATATGTGATGTTCGTCCATTAACCTTTTATTAGGAAGCATTTAACTTTTGATGGCCCTGTTTTGCAGATAGTATTTCTTAAGCAGAAATGAAGAGTAAAAAGCAATCTGTACAAAATGCTGAAGATGACAAACATGAGGCTGCAAAAGGTAGCTAACATATTGATCGATTTTCTGGAAGAAATTAGACTTAAAAACACAAGTACTCCAATATATTTTTAGATCCAGCCTATGCATTATTTTATAGATATTAACATTTTCCTTCTGAGACTTCTGGATTTAGCTAATTACTACCTACAAGTTATAATTGGCAATATTAATGGTGGAGGGACTATCCCAATCAAATTCTAATTGAGAATTTCCCTGCTTTCCAAAATATTACTGTTGTTGCTGTTATCACAGACTAACATCTGAAAAGGGCTATCCATGCCATCTATTGTTATCCTGGGATAACAAGTCTTTGAATTTCTTTTATCTATGACTCACTTGTAATCCCTGAAGAAATAAGACACTCTGTACATGTGCCATTAGAAAATAATTCAGTAAAAATAACTTGGGCATGTAGATTTGGTGCTTATTCTAGATACACACTAGATATTAACCAAAATAATTGGATGTTCCTTTAATTTAATGTTCCTTTAATGTACTCTACATGGGGCTACCCTTGAAAAGTATCTGGAAGCTAGAGCTGGTTCAAAATGCGGCCGTGCAGACAATCTTGAGTGCCCCAAGGATGGCACATATGACACCTTTGCTGTGGGAGCTGCAATGGGTTCCAGGTGCTTCCAGGTCCTGTTCAAGGTGTTGGTTATTACCTTTAAAGCCCTACATGGCATAGGTCCAGGTTACCTGAGGGACTGTCTCATCACATTGACCCATCCCAGTCAGGCAGAGAAGGCAATGTTACGGACCCTGCCAATGAGAGAATGTCGGCTGGCAGGGCCCAGGAGGAGAGCCTTGTTTGCTGTTGTCCCCACCCTCTGGAATATTCTCCCCCTAGAGATGCAGCGGGCCCCTACCCTCCTGGCTTTCTGGAAAGAACTGAAGACCTGGTTCTGCCATCTTACGTGGGGCAAGAAGAGCTTTAACCAACCCTGGGGGTGGCTAGCACCCTGATGATGTTCCCCAAGCCTAATAATTTCTAGCTACCATCGCTTGGAAGATATTTATTATTTATTTAGGGCTAATTGTTATATTGTGTTTTTAATTAATATTTATCTTTTCTGTAAACCACCCAGAGTCGTTTTCTAACAAGATGGGTGGAAACAAATTTGATATATAATTTAAATAAATAAATAATTTCCTGGAATTTCTGCTCCATGTAGAGATGTACAGTTATCTCAGAAAATCAAGTTCTAACCAACTGAGCATAGTGAAATTTCAAATGAAGAGTATATAATAGTTTCCTTGTATACACACACATAGAGATACACATGTACACGTAGATTGTATTACTTTTTAATTGTTAAACTGTTGGTCTGATTTGCCTGGGTTTTAATAGAACTCAGAAAAATTATAAAATATCAAATATACCCAAATTATTACTAAATCATGATAAATGTGTTTTGTTTAATAATAATAATGTGATTGCATTAATGATGATTTATCTATTGGCAAATATAAAATACAGATTTATCTATATCAGATGCATGCAAAACAAACTGAGAAATTGAATATGTTTAATTCTGTTTTGATATCATAATCCTTTGAAATTACCTGGTAGAATTCATTGAAATGCATTGTTTATCCCAATAGCTTTTTAAAAGGATTCATATACTTTATTTTGGATATGTTTCCTGTTGGTCACTGCAAACAATAGGTCAGTATACATTTCATTTGACTGACATGGATGATAAATCTAAAAAATTGTTATATATATAAAGTCCATATAATGAATTTCAAATTAGTTGTTGTACAAAATAACATATATAATTTAGCTTGATTTTTTTTTAACTTTCCTTGTTTTGTATTTAATGGTCTTAATGACCATGGGAGAATTGTCCAATATGCTGAAGATACTGAACTAGATGTCTTTCAATCTTGATTTGTTTTACAAAGAATTCAGTATTCTATTTTTCAGTATACTGTTTAGAATATAGCTATACATCAATTATTTCAGTGTATTTATAATTACTGCATTTTATAACAGGTGAAGAGAATGAAGAAGACTGTCCTTGTTCTTCTAACTTTTTATCTGATGAAGATGATCGCTGCCCAATCTGTCTAAACTGTTTGGCAGAGCAGGAAGTTGGCTTTCCTGAAAATTGCAGCCACATCTTCTGCTTGACCTGCATTCTTAAATGGGCTGAAGTAAGTATTAAGATCTGCAGTCAAATTCGCAAAATAGTTTATTTAACTTTTAAAATCTCTCTTAATAAATAATATTATATGTTCTTTTTGTTTTGGTTGGCATCCAAACAACAACTTCTTTATTCATGCATATTCCAGCTTTGAGCTTGTATTTCTTAAACTTTTAAGTTTTCATGTATCATGAAAAACTGCTTCTGGAATATAAGAAGGATTTCAAAAGCAATATGGACTGTGAGTGATATCAAGTCCAGTTTTTAAAATTGGCTTCGCTGTCATACCTGGCATTCTTAAAGTAGCTTTTTGAGGAATAGCCCAAATATAAATCTTGTACATTTGATCAGAGCAGTGGTATCACAACATTAAATACAGCTCAGAAAGGGCCTTCATTTCTTAAAACAATCCTTGTAAATGGTGGTATCGCTTGTCTTCCTTTATTCTGAAAGGAATTACAGGTAGTCCCAGGGTTAATAATGCCTGTGTTACAGATGACCCATAGTTAAGAACGAGCCTATTGTAGCAAAATTTGAATTAAACACACAATGGTTCAAGTTAATTATGCGATATTACTTATACAGTATTATACAATATTACTGTTCTGGCTTACGTACAAATTCGACTTAAGGACAGACCTTGGGAACAGATCTTAAACTGGGGACTACCTGTATAGTGACTCTTATTCTGATTCCTTATTGCTTTCGATTTCCATGGAAGCTGGATCATTACATATGTCTTGCAACTTTAAAATGTCAATCAATTTTGCTGTTGCAGTGGCATCTCATGTTTTTGGCTGTGCAGCAAGGTATATGCCCTAAAACATGAGCACATAACATTTTCTAGATTAAGGCCACAGTTGGCCTTCAAGTCATGTATCTTGGAGCAAGGTTAAAAACAAAATTTATTTCGCCTACATGCCAGTTAATTAAAATTAAATGTAGATCATATGATCAATCTTTAGTCATACATTTAATAGTTTTCCCATTATGTTGTATTAAAAAGTACAATTTGAGGTCTTCCTGTTACCCCAGTTGTATGCTCTTTCTGTAAAAAATTCCAAATAAATTTGTAAATACTGTAAGCCAAATAATTGTCTTGTCCTGCCCTGAGGCAGGGATCTAACATCCCTCAACATTGGCTATGTTGCTTGAGACTACAAGTGGTCCTCATTGAGCGACTGCTCATTCAGGAACTGTTCAAACGTACGACGGTGCTGAATGAGTGGTAGTTATCACTGGTCCTCGTGCTTATGTTGGTTGCAGTGTCCCCGGGGTCACACAATCACAATTTGTGACCTTCTTTGCCACTCCTACAAGCAAAGTCAATGGGGAAGCTAGGAGGAGGTTGCAAATGGTGACCATGTGATATCTTTGCTTAACAACCCGCTGAGTGACAGAAATTCCAGTCCCAATTGCTGTCATTAACTTGTACTGAGAATTGTGGTTTAGAGAATTTAAATAGGTTTAACCTCTTAAGAACATCAAGTGATTATATAGTCACATACTCACTTGGAATAAGCCCAGTTTGATTCAGTAGGACTTAATTCTTTTTTTTAATATAATTTTTTATTAAAGACATTTTTATCAAGATAAAAACAATACAAATTTTAGAGAAGAAAATAAAGAAAAATAGTGTATAGATAAGAAAGAAAATAAGAGAAAGAAACAAGATGGGAAAAAGGGAAAGAAAAGAAAAGGTTATAAAGAAGCGGCTCCCTATCTTCTTAACAGCTGGTTATAAATGCATTTATATTTTGCCCTCTCTCTTCAAGACTGCATCATAATTTGCTTCTTTCCATAGTTTACCCTCAGTAGGACTTAATTCCAAATAAATATGCATAGGATTGTACACAAGAATTCAATTTCTTGTCTAGGCAGCTTATTTTTTTACTTTTTATTTTATTTAAAATATTTATATGGCTGCTCATCTATTGAAGGTGCTCTGATCCTATGAATACTTATAGTTATTAATACTTATTGTAAACATACATTAAACTCATTCCTTTCTTGTGCTGTTCAGGGCTAAACAAATATTCTCTCTTCTTTATGGTTGAAGACTAAAATCTTGAGTTTCTATAATTATCTTAAATGCTCTTCCAAACAGAAATGTAGAAGATATCTAGCAGACATCTAGCTTATATGGAGGATTGATGTTATGGAAAAATATACAACCATGTGACACACATCCCTTTTATTGCCATAAAACAGCCTATATACAGATTTATCATTGTCCGGTTAAAAATTACATTGGATCATCATGTTTTTTGTAATATTTTTTAATTAATTTGCAAGATACCAGAGCAATACTATCATTCAGTCTAAATGTTCTGAAACAACAACAGCAAAACCCCTTCAGCTATTCTTTAGCTGTCATCTGCATAATTCATCCAGAAAAATATAAAGAGCTTTTTCCTTCTGATACTATTGTAAAAACATTTCTGTTCAGAAGTATTTTTTTTTAATTAATTAAAGTTTATTTCTGAGCAAGCATCTATTTTTTTCAATCCCAGTAGGTAGACCAGACCAGAAAGTCAACTCTGCAGGCAGACTAAACTATATTTTATTGAAATAGGTTAAACTAACAGAATCTTGCAAGCCTGGTTGTATTTTACCTCCCCTCCTTCTTGTGCCCCAGTGAATCAGAGAGGAGCCTTCCTGAGTCACTGTCAAATACTCTCTTGCTCCCCAGGACTTAAAGAATGTTTCAGCCCTCTTTGCTTATGTAATGGTTCTTGTGTATTTCTGTCAAGGTCATCTCCCTTACTCTCTACAATTAATTGCAGCCAAATTGATGCTGTTGTGTGTGGGGGGGGTAGAAATGAGATCCCATCTGGAGTCGGGTGCCACCACAATCAGATAAATTGTGTTTGTATGTATGTATGTGTAAAGGTTTTTTTAAAATTTTTAAATGTTTTATTAATTAGAAAAGCAACAGAAAAAGCAAAAAACAAAAAAGGAAAGGAATACATGTACATATATTAAAAACATACATAATATTGTAATCCCTAAGTCATCTATGTTGTTATTTATCTTTGTGGGGAGTTAGTGTTGTTATTGTTGCATAACCTTTTCAGTAAGGTAAAGGTTGAAATAAAAATTCAAAGAATGAGATTTAATGTACTGATTAAAAAATACACAAGCATAAAAACATAAAATAAAAAAGACTTTGTAGGAAAAAAAAAGCATTCAAGTAGCCTCCTCCTTTTATTTCTTTCCCTTTTTTTCTCCTTTTCCCCTGACCACTAACTGTTTTTTATATATTTTTATACTATGCTTTAAACATGTACAATTATTGCTCATTTCTACTTCAGTCATTTTCATTCTTTTTTAAACAGTTTCTTCAAAAAGCACATTCTAAACATCTTAGCTGGCCTTGCTATGTAATATATTTTATATAAGGGAGCCATTCCTGCTTAAATTAAATAAATACATTTTATTGCCCTTATCTAGAGATGAGTGTGTTAACATATACGTAGTACTAGCTTCTGTACATTATCTGCATTCAATTTCAATCAGGGCTGGGCAATTAACAAGCATATTAATTTTTCTGTTTCAGTTAGTGTCAACACATTAAAGCATTTGGTTAATTATCCCCTTTTGTGAAATTACTTGATTTTAAATTTAAATAAAATTTGCATATTAATATCCCACTTTGGATAGGCTTGAGGTAAAGAGATTTGCAGTGACCACAGTTTCAGATTGTGCTAATTCATGAGGTAGTAAAGCTATAAGCCTTTTTTTTTTTTTACTTAGCCAACTTTCCATATTTACTAGAGGCATTGTGTCTATATATGAGAAAAATCATCTAACAAAACAACTCCATTCTTGCTAGAAGGAAAAACTATTTAGACTTTCAAATTTTTAAAATGAAACCTACACTGTTGACTTCCAGCCCCCAAAATTAACATTTGTAATTGCTGTGCATTCAAGGAACATATTTAATAGTGTTATTCTGCTCATAGAATGATTCTTAATTCTCCACATTACCTGCTAAATCAATTCAAGGGCCATCCAGAGCAGGTCTGAAGCATTTGTGGTGTGTTTGTGAGGAAAACAGTCACATTGCACAAGCAGAAGTCAAGTCAATGTAAGGTTGCATGTGAAAATATATAAATGATAATACAGTGGAACCTTGGTTTACGAACTTAATTCATTCCGTGACTCTGGTTGCAACCCGAATTGGTTGCAACCCGAAGGAAATTTCCCCATAAGGTTCAATGTAATTACCATTAATCCATTCTGGCGTGGAGGACAGGGAGGTGGCTATTGCTTGGAGGGAGAGCCCCCCTCCCTACGACCACATGTCAGGGGCAGAAAAATGGCTGCGGACCACCTGTCAGGGGCGGAAAAATGGCTGCGGACCACGTGTCACGGGAGGGAAAATGGCCACGTATCCTGTTTGTACCCCGACGCGGAGTTCGCAAACCGAAGTAAATTTTTGCAGCCGGAGCTGGTCGTAACCCAAAAAGTTCGTTAACAGAGGCGTTCGTAACCCGAGGTACCACTGTACTTAGAACTCTAAGTGGATTCCACATTAATGTTACACAGGTTTATGTTTTATATTCCTTATGAAATATAGCAGAAATGTGTATTTATAATTTAAAAAAACAATTTCTAATATTAATTTTGAAATTCTGAAAACTAATTTAAATCTTTCAGACAAGGGCTTCATGTCCAGTGGACCGCAAACAGTTCAAAGCTGTATATAAACTAAATACTTCAGAAGATTCTGTAAAGGTATGTTCCAAGATGTATGGGCATTATTTCACAAAATTAGTTTTTCTAGTGTTCATTTTCAGTAACAAAAACAGATGTAGCAGCGGCAATTTTAACTCACACAAAGCCTCGTCTGTTTTTTTCCTCTTCTGCTTTGAAACTCGGTATCATGTCAGAGATTTTGCTTTGCTTTTTTTCTGAGATTGACAATATATTCTTACGTTGATCAAAGTTCATTTAGAAAATAATAATACAATGAATATGTAGTATTTGTAATGTTTTAAAAGAGCGAATATTCTTATAGGTTCAGTAACAATTTATTTCTAAAGTATAAACATTAGAACAAATTATTTGGAAAACTACTATACTAATTGTAATATTAACTTCTTTGCAGGTTCAGATAAAGCAACAAATAAGCAAAAAAGATGATCTACTCAGTTGTTATAAGGGCAAGAATTGCCCTATGACTGTGAAAAACTGCAAAAGGTTAGCAATACCTGATGTAAACTGTCTTTACAATATATAAACACCTTATTTTCACATTTGAAATGCTTCGATTGTAGTATGTTTTTGCATATGAAGGTGAAATGCTTTTGCCAACTCACAGTATTAAACTAGTACCAATGTTATGTACCACGGAAGTCTTCATGTTGCTCAGAAGAGACACATTTGGTCCATTTGCTTGTTTTTTAATGGAATGGGTCCCTGCATATTCTTTTTTTTACTAGATTATTCTGGATTATCATTTTGTTAGGGTATCTTCAGATTTTTTTTTCTGAAGGAGCTCAGATACATTATTAATAAGCATAGAATTAAGTGTAATCATAAGTAATTTTTGGTTTGTTTTTTCAGAAAACAGGAAAATGCTGGCATAAGATTTTTACCACTAATCTATAAAAGCTGGAACTCAAAACACAGTAAGTGAGCTATTTTGGTCAACTTCTTGGCCTCCTTTTGACATTTCCATGTTGTGTGTGCTTTGATATATTAGCTATTCTAACAAATTAACTATCTTGGGCAGTTAAACTATTCTGAGCAGTGCTTTGAGTGTATTTGCTTTTATGTCAAATTCACAATCTTAACCAGTTTCTAAAGGGCTTCCTGTATTAGCCTGTTGAAGCAAAAACTTGATAGAAATACTCAGTATCCAATTGAATGTGTTATAGCTTAATCTTTCATGAGCTATAGCTTAGTACATAACTTGAGCAAATTTCTGCAAAGCATGACATTCTTTGTGAAATCAAAACCTCTTGCTCAAACAAGTCTCTATATACATATTTTATCCAGAATTTTGAGGGCATCTTTGCATGCTCACATGTGTTTGTGCTTTCAAATAGATAACACAATTCTCAATGCAGACACATCAGGCAAAGTCTATACTTCATAAATTGTATCAAGTCTGGTTTTGTGATTCAAAAAGCCTATTAGGTTTTGAAAATACTATCAGTATGCTTCTGCAACCTGTTTCCTGAATTTTTAAAATTCAAGGAACAGGAAATCTCTTGTTACAATCCAGTGGTCCAGATAGGAGGTTACTCAGATATTTATCTAGTGATAAATTTTAAATGAATGGCCAAATAGACACCGTGGCACCAGAAGTTATCTGTTTAATTCCATTTTGAAATTTTATTAGCAAGAATTTAACTATTCCTTTTAGGTTTGAAAAAAAATCAAAGGATAGAGGACAATATAAGTAAGTATATATAATTATTGTACATATGCTATATGATTATGAATAGAGTCTAAGAAGTAGATAGGGAAAAGTTTTCTTCTCATAATTTGACATCTAGGGTCATTCAATAAAGTTTAATTGTTGGAGATTTAGAACAAATAGAAAGAATGGCTTCTTTATCCATTCCATAGCTCATGTAATTTTTCCAACATTGTTGATTTTAAAAGAGATTTAAACAATTTATGCCAAATATATCTCTCTATTGCCAGTAGTCACAATGGTAATATTTCTAATATTATAAGAAATATCCTCTTAACATCAATTGTTGGGGAACTCGATCAGGAGTGTGCCACTGTACATACAGAATTGCCATAGCTATCTACTTGGGCAATATGGGAACACATTGTTGGATTAGATAAGCTTTATATGGGATCCAGAAGGATTCTTGTTATATTCTTAAATGCTGTGGCAAGAGTGTGATGAGGATATGAAAGTTTCCCTTGCGGGGAAATTTTTTAGTGTAGTATACTGAATTGCAGCCTATTTAGTCAATTAGCACAGAGATTAAGGAAGAAATACATATTTTATGTGTCTTTCTTGATAACTTTCAAATATACTTTGAATAAGTTTGTTTTTTTCTGCATTGAGCTTTTCTCATAGTTAAATACTTGCAGAAGAATTTCTTCAAAATTAATTAGAATTAGTAATTATATATGCCTTAAGGCTTAAAAGATCAGGTTGAATTTTTTTTCTTTTTTCTTTTAATTATAAAGATCCTTCAAACAAGGAAGAAGTTACAAATTCAATGAAGAAAAATAAGGTTCGTTCATATATTATATGATTAAATTATATATTTAAAATAATAAAGATTTCAAGTTATTTCTTTTTAAAATCCTTCACTTTTAATATGTCCTACATATGTTTTTCTTCTCCTTCATACACTGAAGCTGATACTTTGTCTGTTTTGTTTACCTTTAAACTAACCTTTGTGAAGTAAATTTATGGTACTTTTGAAAGTGTATATTTTGTTTAAAAATCTTAACTTTGAGAAATGCACTATTTCATAATATTAATTGCAACATAATTATTGTAAGGATACAACATGTTAAATTGCACAGTTAGAATTAATGCAATTATAATTTGTTCTAAACTCTATCATTTATTTGCTTCAGATAACTTTTTACAAAGTCATGCCATTTTTAAGTATGCTAAAATTAAATATGTTAAACATATTCAGTTTCTTAAACTGCAATTTGAAATAACACACATTACAAGAAAGTCTCATTGAGGTATCATTGAAGCCAAAAGTTTGGCTTAAGGTTCGAGTAAGACTGCTCAAATAATGTAAAGTGCTTATATGCTAACTGATTTGTCGTATCTTAAAATATTGAATGGCTTATTTAAAAAAAAGGCAGTTCTTGAAAAGAAAATTGGATTTGTTTTAATATGACTTTTAAACCATACACTGTTACGTTTATGTTTCCTAATGTTTATATCAATATGCAGATGATATCCAGTTATACATCTCTACCTCAAACCAAATGGGGGATGTAGTGGAATCCCTGATCAAAATCAGTCTAAGGAAGACAGAATGGCTTTACGTGTAGAAGCCTATTGATTCTGGGATTATACCATCTTTGTTTCTCAGTGGGATGGGGTTTCCCCACTGAGAGCTGACCTGCAATCTAGGGATCCTCCTGGACTCATGGTTCCTGCTGGAAAGCAGATGGGAACAGTGGCCAGGAAGACCTTTGCCCAGGTTAGGTTGGTGCACCAATTGTGTCATTACATGGAACGGGTAACACTCAATGCCCTTCATATCTCCCATATGGATTTCTGTAATTTGCTTGATATTGGCCAGCCCTTGAAGACCACTCAGAAGATTCATTTGCTGCAAAGTACAGCAACCTGTATACTTACTGGAAAGTCTCATTACTGCCACATATCCCCATTGCTGCAGGAACTGCATTGACTACCAACATGTTTATAAGTGCACTTCAAGGTGCTGGTCATCACTTACAAAGTGCTCTGTGCCCAGAGCCTGGATATCATTGAGACACCCTACTCTATATATATAGATTCTGCCTGCTTAATCTGAGGCATAAAGAATGCAACTGGAAGAGCCTGAAAGTGAGCATTCTCAGTAGGTGTTCCTTTCCTCTGGAATAACTTGCCCTCGAAGCAAGGGTAGTTCCCAATTTCATGGCGTCCCACAAGCTTGTAAAAACTTACCTGTTTTGGAAGGCCTTTGAAACCTGAGGGCTGTGGAGCTCCTAGTGCTGAGAATGTCATATTTAATTGTAACTTTTAAACTATAATTATATATTATATTTGTTTTCTTATATACTGTATTTTATTGCTATTATTTCATTGGCTATTGCTGTTGGTTTTGTACACTGCTTGGAGTCACCTTGACTGAAGCAGCTTATAAATTCATAAATAAATATTTCACTTCATTTATTCTAGGCTTTGGAAATTTCAGATATCCATGGATAATTAAACAACACACATTTTTATGATACCAGCTGAAATCTTGGTCATTTCAGATTTTTCAAAAGCCTGAAATATACCTAAAAATATTATTTTTTCTCAAACATTTATAACATCTTTCAGTTAATTGTCAGAACTGAAGGCGTCTCTATAAATAGCAGTTGCTTTCTCCATTATTTAAACAATGTTTTGAAGAAGCCACCTGTATAGGTGACTAATCATTAACTTACTAACTGGCAGTTTAACATACAATGCCATGTATCATTCTGTAATTAGAAAACTATTACTTGGTAATAGTGCAGTTCTATGCATGTCTAGTCAGAAGTAAACCCCATATGCTCAGTGGAATCTTTTCTTTTGTGACTTGAGATCTAGATAAATGTATGTCACCAAAGATCAGGATAATTCTGATGTACAGTTTTGACAGTGATGCAGGGAAAGAAAGTTGAGGCAGCATCTTTAACTCACAGCCCATGCCATTCAGTAAGATCCTCCTACCTTGAGAGGGTCTTCTGGTTAGTGAAAGAAGGGATGCTTAAATCCAGATCTGATCTGTAGCTTATGTGTAGTTATGCTGTTGCTTTAAAGCAAAATAATCTTGCTGATAATGTTAGTACTTTATAAAATTAATAATTAAAAGGATCAAATTGTTAGATTTATGCAGATGCTTAATAACAGAAAGAGAAACAATATTTCAGAAATATAACTCAAATTCTGAAATATTATTCAGAGCTTTAAGAGAAGATTGAACTAACATTTATGAAGTGGTATATGTATAAATATAACCAAGGCTTTTGCTGACTGGAGAGTTCAAACCATAGTGGGATTTTAATACATTTAAAAGTACCTATTTCTGTGATCACGAAGATTCATCATCAGTGTGATGTGGTGTTTTTTTCCTCAAAATCATGTTAATTGGAAGGGTCTAAAGGAGCTGTAAAGCATGCCTCAGCTCCTTCTTGGATTTCCACAGCAGCACTGGCAGACCAAAGGTATAGGATAGGGTGCATACCTTCTGTATGCAAAATGTGTGCTCTGTCATGTTAGATATCAACTCTAGTAAAACAAGATTCAGGGTGTGATAGAAATTGTCTATATATGGAGTACTGTATATTTTCTGTAGTATCTGGGTGACTATCAAGTTGGTTTTGTACTCCTATTTAACATCTGCGTGAAGCTGCTGAGCAAGGTCATCCATTAAACCAGTTTTGGATATCATCAGTATGCAGGCAATATCCAAGTTTATATCTTGACCCTGGGCTGAAAAAGTTATATTGCCAGTGTTATCAAAGTGCTGGGAGGCTTTGACAGTATAAAGAAGAGATTAAGTGGCTCTGGGTTTAAAGGCCAGATCTGATTCCAGAGAAATATGGTATTTTAATTTGAATGAGATCACGGTCCCCTGAACAGAACTAGAGAAGTTTGCAGTTTGGGGGTCCTCCTGGACTTACAGCTCCTGCTTGAGGAACAGTAGTGGCTGTGGTCAAGAGGGTCATTGTGCAGCTTCATCTTATATGCCAATTGCAACCTTTCCTGGAATAGGGTACGTTACTCACTATAACTCATACCTTAGTCACCTCTTGATTGGACTATGGTAAGGGAATAGCATTCAGAAGCTGCATGTGATCCAGGATGTGGTGGTTCAAATAGTTAAGGGGAACTTTGAGGCACCCATAAAACACCTCTTCTTCAAGAACTGCATTGTTACCAACCCATTTTTGGGTGCAAATCAAGGTGCTAGTTGTCATCCTTAAAGCCCTTTGTGGTTTAGGGCCTGGACTACCTTCTTCTGATAACATCTGACTACCAAATATGATCTGATAGGATGGGTTCTCTTCATGTTACCTGAATTGTCACCCACAGGGAGATACAGAAGCATGCATTTTCAGTTGCAGTTCTTTTCCTTTAAAATAGTCCTCCCCCTGCCCCGCAATGTTTGAATAGGCCCCTCCTTCCTGATTTTCAGAAGGTTTGTTGAGATTTGGTTGTTTTATTAAGCCTTGAGGCCAGGTTGCAACTCTTCCTCTGCATGATGAATTGTTATTTTGGTTTTGATAGTTCAGTTTTCTGGCTTATGTATGGTGAATTTAGATTTATGATTTTTAGTTAAATTATTTATTATTTATTTTTGTTTGCTTTTAACCCAGGTTACAGATTTGGGAAATTGTGTGCCACTGAGATTTGGTCTGATAAGAGCAGTTTATAAACAAATAAATACACTTCCATGAATAGAATATAAAGAAAATACTTTTCCATCTCAAGTGTGGAAAAGTTTGTGTGTGTATGTGTGTATGTTAGATGTTGAGGAAAGGAAACTATGGTGGGTATCCAATGTAAATACTTTATTTTATAGCCTAGAAGACAGACCTGCTTGAACAGATTCTTCAAAAGTAACTGGTGTGATAGATTTTCTTCTAATAGTAGTTTCTCTGGTGAATCTCCTAATTATCAAAGTGAAAGGTCAGTATGAATCTATTGTTTACCCAGAATTTTGTAATTGTAAAGTAAATGCTAGTATAGTTCCCTCTGCTTTCTGGAGAAATTGTTTTATTAGCTTTCCTCTCAAACTGCCATATATTATCATAGAAAGGGAACTATAAATCAAACAATGTAAGAAGATCATGGTTTCTGGAATTCTTTCCAACCCCTTAATAATAGCTCCACTATGGATCATGAGAACAGTAGGAAGGGAGCTTAGACATTCCAGGTCACTGCCCAGCTGCCTTTCTCATAGAGATGCATTGGGAAAATTTGTTCTGTTTATGCCCCCCTCCATCTCCCACATAGTTTCCAACTAGTTCTGGCCTATTTTCTGATTCAGTTTTTCTTTTGCCACGCAGCTTCTCCCTCTGCACCAAATTTGTTCTGTTCAGTTTTCAGACAATTATCCTGTTATTATCCAACACTCTGTTGGATCAGAAAAAAAGAACTTGGTATATGGACTTTAATATTATAAGTTACAACTTTAGAATTTTCTAGAACTTTAATGAATTTGCTGTTCTGATGCATATGGATCTTACTTCCTTTTGTATTGTAGCAGAACTTGGTAGAGTGTAATCAGAGTCAAGAATTGCATAATTGAAATTTCACCACTGTTTTAAAATTCTCTAGGTGACCAAAGCAGATAGAGAGTTTGCATGGATTATTGTGCCCTTTCCATCTGAAAAGCTGTAATCATTCATGAAGTGACATATGTATAGAGGTAGTCCTTGGTTAACAACTGCCCTGTTTAGTGACTGTTTGAACTTATGACAGAGCTGAAAAAGTAGGTTTATGACAGGTCCTTGAACTTATGACAGTTGCAGTGTGGTCACGTAATTGCAATTTGGGCACTTGGCAACCAGCATGTATTTACGACCGTTGCAGCATCCTGCAGTCATATTATCACCATTTGTGACCTTCACAGCCGGCTTCTGTCAAGCAAAGTCAATGGGAAAGCTGGCAGGAAGTCACAAGTCATGGTCATGTGATGTGCTTAACAACCACAGATGATTTGCTTAACAACCGCACGGAACTGACATAAGTCAGGCATGGTCACATGTTTCACTTAACGACTGCATCACTTAGCGACCAAGTTGCCTGCCCCAAATGCAGTCATTAGGTGAGGACTACCTATAAATATAGACAAGGCTTGCTAACTGGAAAATTCAAACCATAGTGGGCTTTTAATAGGATAGTACCTGATTTCAAGGTATTCCGCCAATAAACTACTATAAGATATAACAAGAAGTTATTGTATATGCTAGATTAAGGGCAGATAGCTAATTTTGAGCTACTAGATGTATTTAGTCTTCTGCAGCATGTTAAAGTTTGCACTCAGAAGTGGGTATGATCAGAAAAAGTGGGCAAAGCTAACAAAGGAAGGGCAGATCTGGCTAGAGAGAAAATAAATAGTTTATTTATTTATTAATTAATCACATGAAGAAATGAAATATTCTCTCTTCAGTAGTGCCTTGCCAGATTCTTCTAAGAGAGCCATAAGAAGGGCATTAAAATCATAATAAACAGTTATATGAATTGCCTAATACTGTCTCTTAACCTTAGAAGATAAGATATTCTGAACCAGAATATTTAAGCTCATGCACTCTACCCCCCTTCTTTTTAATGAAGTGAGAATCTGAAAAAAATGAAGGTATAATTTAAAAGATAAATAAGTTGTGAAATAGTTATAAAATGTAATTTTATATAAAGTTCATCTGTAAACCTTAAATATATAATAAAGGTAGTCCTCAGTTAATAACCGTTATTGGGACTGGCAGCTCCAATAAAGCATAAAGCAAAAAAGTGCCAACTTACAATGGCAGTTCCAGTTGTGGTCGTTAAGCAAAACATGCATGGTCATTGAGCATGACATGTGACCGCAACTTGCAACTTCCTGCCAGCTTCCCCATTGACTTTGCTTGTTGGAAGCTAGCAGCGAAGGTCACAAATGGTGATCATGTGGCTGTGGGATGCTGCGACTGTTATAATTGTGCGCTGGTGCCAAGCACCTGAACTGGCCGCAACTTTGAGGACCAGCCATAAGTCTCCTCATTCAGTGCCATTGTAACTTCAAATGGTCACTGAATGAGTGGTTCCTAAGTGAGGACTATCTGTACTCTGGATAGAAGTGGACAGAAGGGTGACTATTGTAATAGAATTGCAAGGGACAGGATTTGGGGCCTGTTTTTCTGTCATTTGGGGAGAAGGTTGAAAAGAGAGCTTTTTGTTTTTATGGGTATATTAAGCTTATCAGAAACTTCAATACACTGTTTGCTTTGGATTGCTGACAGATTTCAGCAACATGGTCTTGACTGGATCTGCAAAAATGGCCCAGGGGCATAAGTTATTCTTCTCTGCCCTACCCTTCAAATAATTGCCATGAACATTACAGCCTAACTTGGCAGTTTGGTACCTGTGGGCACCCAGATTTCTTTAAGGCACGGCCAAGGAAATCACAGTTATATCACTGTGTGAAATTTTAACTATTTTTTTTTTAAACTCCATATATTTATGGTATCTACCAACCCTTCCTGATCTTTGTTTTAAAGTTTGTTCTCAAGCAACGCCCCTCCAAAATATTGCATACAGGTATTACATCTATCTCCACACCTCACCCCAATGAAGTAAGGAGCCAGCAAAGTTGGGGGAACGTTGCACATACTATGAGTTCTTGTATTTCCTTGAACTCTGAAGATAGGACCATAACTTTCCAACAGATCTTGTAAAAGAAAAAATCTGACAACCTGGAAAGGCAGATCAGTGATTAATTATGAACATGTCCTAGGCTTCTGCCCTGTGAGCTTTTGGATTGTTCCAGCAGCATGGCATTCAGCTGACATGGTAACCTAACAGCTAACCATAGATTAATGCTTTGCAGCCAAAGAAAGAGAGCCCTTACATGTTTATTGTGAGGAATGTTCACATGGAAACTATAAGATAGGCTTTCTGAATTTTCCAAATGCACTGATTAGAAGAGCAATTCATTCTAGTAACATTATACTATTGCTAGTGCTGTGGTTTCCAAACTGCACGGCGGCATCCCAGAGCCCCCAGTGAACACCCAACAGCACTGCAAGGTATTTTACTATTTAATAAGCAGAACTGTTTGCTGCAGTGCCCCGGCACACAGTTTGGAAACCACTAGGGGTACCATGAAAGAATTACAGAGTGCTGTGAACCAGGAAAGTTTGGGAACCTCTGGCTTAGTGTTACTTTGATATATGGTTGGTATCTATTACGCTCTCAACTTTATAATACTGTTAGAAATTATTGAGAAAGTAATACTGTAGATCACCTTGAATTTTGGTACAGGGTATTAAAAATGTACATATAAAATGAAGTGTCTGTAATTATTTTCAATTATTTGAATTATAATTTGAATTGTTTTCAAATGTTTCCAATTATTCCAGTATAGAGATCAGCAAAATTGACACAGTTATCAGACACAAGAGAAGAGAACTGGAGCTGTCTTGTTCTGTACTAGCTAGAGTGGCAAGGTAAAACATATATCTGGTTGGGAACTTTTTATTAAAAATATTTGGGTTAGTAATAAAACTATACTATCCAGTACCAATATCTTAAATAATATTTTGGGTTTCCCCCATTCTTAACTCTGACTGAATGCTTTAGGAAACATTTGGTTTTGATTGATTTATTCCTGAAGAAGCCAGCTGTGGTTAAGATTAATTATTGTAATTTCAAAAGCAAGCTTCAGGCCATGATTTCTGAATCTGTAATTAGGGATAACCACAGTGCGATATCCTGACAGTGAATTGTACTTGAGCAAAAAATGCCAGCATTGGGAAATGTGTTTCTCTGGCTAGAATTGGCTGCCTCGGTCAAGGACAAAACAGAACTTTGCTGCTTGAAATACAGGGTGAACAAATTGTGTGTTGGGGGGGGGGGGGTTAATCAACTGATCCTGGCTGATAAATACATTTTCTCTATAAAAAAACAAATAGCTTCTGATACAACTTATTGTAGAACTCTTAATTCATACTCTGCTTCTGTTTAGATTTTTAAAAAAATGGCCGAGGCTGAGCAAAGAGTGTTTTATTCAGACCTACAGAAGTATAGACTCACATCACCCCAATATTGTCTTGGCCATCTCTAAAACACTGCCTCTGACCCACATGGAAGGGTGTTCACTCTGATGAGATTTGATGCCCTCCCTTTTCCAATTGGAAATTGTGTTTTTTCTCTTGAGATATCTGTTGAGTGCAATCTCTTTGAAAGTAAAGAAATTCTATGCTATTGCAATTGCAGTTAAAAGATGGATCTGACAAGAATAGTTTCGACACCTTGTCTGGCTAACACAGCTTAATAAAATCTTCCATACAGGCATTTATTCCGTATCCACATACACTTATTTTTTCTCTTTTTCATTTTTCTTTTCATTCACTGTGGACTGTTATATGTGGCCTGTGCTGGTTTTTGGCCTATAACCATACAGCAAACTAAATCAGTCACTCAGAGCAGAAGCAAGAGGAAATCATATTGCGTGAATTCAACTCCAGTTATATGATGCTATGTTTTGAGGGACATTTCATAAACCCAATATTAAAAGGTATTTTGGGGATTAGGTGATGATTGCTAAAGAAGGCATAATTTGTCAGAATATAAAATATACAGTATTTTTTAATTTGGGAAACGTATTTCCCAAAACATATGGGTTTAGAGATACCCAGGTCTTTGAAGCCAACACAGAATTTCGCTACATAGCAGAGCTTTAAAGAATATTTTTTTTCTTCATGTTTTTTTAATGTGGGTTCATTTTTACAGAGTTCCTTCCATGTCTTGTGAAGCAGAAATAGCAACTTGTCTTGTTGTGGAAACTGTCTTTTCAATAAGTACTTCACCTTTGGAAAACTTTGGTAAATTTTTTTTGTAAGTTTTATTTAGTTTATATAAAGCAATGTTTCGTTGTAAAAATTAAATCGCCTTCTCCTAAGGACTGTGCTGCAGAATTATTATAGAAATATTTGGGCAATGTGTTGTAATGGTACACATTCTATTTAAAAATATTTTTGCATGTTGGTTTGAACATTTTAATATGAAACACAGGGTGAGTCTTTATTAGAATGAAAATGTGAGATGACGATAGAACAGAATGTGCAGCTTTGGGCCTAGAATCCAGGTTAACAACATTCTACTTTTTTTCCCCTTTCTGCAGACTGTCTTTTTAAAAAATCACTGAATAGTTTAACCTTTCTAAGTAAATATCCTTAAACTGAGGAGTCCCAAGCTGATATCATTTTAAATATACCTACATAATACAGTCTGAATTTGGAGATGTCGAGCTGTACAAATTTCTACATATAAAATAGAGGAATTTTAATCATGTACAGTTCAGTAGCCCCCTAGATTTATAGCTTTCCATTTAACTTGTGAAGTAATTTAAACTGAATAATTTGGATGTGGTTCATTTCAAGGAACTTCTAAAAGGATATTCTTCCTACCTTGCTAAACATTCTTCTCAATGACATCACTGCATATTGCCAGTCATCAGTATATACTGTCGAATGTCCACATACAGAGAAAGAAGGACTTTATTTACGATACAGGTAGTCATAAATGTGTGAACTACATGGCAGTAGCTGCTCAGATAGCTTTATACTAAACCAGTGCAAACCTACAGTACACATTTGTGAATGATTTACACATACGAGAGGAGCTCAAGGGACAGGAGTTAGCATCAGCCATTCTAAGTGTATTTGGTGTCTGTATGTTAAATTGTAATATAATTTGGATAACTTTTCTAAAAAAGAAAACTACAGAATAATTAACTAACTAAAGGCAGTGATAATAGAATAATGGAATCTGTTGTCACTGAATGATTCATTGGTATTTCTAAAATAATAATTGTCTTTACCATGTCACAAGAGAGTATTTTTATTTTAAATATTAGGATCTTCTAAATCAGGACACATTGTTACATGTGTCCATGAAGGAGAGGAAAAAAAACAGACTTCTGGTACCACTGGCACAAGAGGAACAAGAAGGAAAGTTTCAGATACTACTCCTAGAAGACGATCTGCCCGAAATGTTAAAACAGAAACTTCGTGTCAATCTCAGAGTTCACCAAAATCCAATAACTCTGGATATGAGGCCAGCGGTGATGGTAGCTCATTTGTGAATGTTTCTTTTACAGAATTAGAGAAATCAACCCCAAAACGGAAAGCTAAAAGAAATGTTAAGCAAGAACCTTTGGTTAAAAAGAAACTAAGAAGTTCTGGACGTTATGGAAAAACATCTAGTGATATAGATTTTGATGAATCCGATGACACAGAGATAACCTTGCTATTAGACAAAGGCAATTTAGCAGACAGTGAAAATAGCACCTCTGATTTTAGTCATAAAAATGATGTTGAAACTGAATCTTCTAATGGCTTAGAAAACTCCAAAGACTATGTAGAATATAAGAAGGAACCTAAGAAATGCCCCCATGAAGGGCAAGATACATTAGATATCTTAGAATCTGATTCCTGTGTTCAAGATCCTCCTTTGCTTGCCTTAGAAAAAACTGCTGGTTCTTATGTTCAGGATCTTCCTTTGCTCACTCTAGAGGTAGACACTGAAAAATGTGAAGAAAAAGATGACTCTGGAACTGAAAACAAGACACATTATAAAAATGCTATCGAGCAAGGTCAATATTTAAATGTTTCTGGAGAACAATTATGTGATGATAATATTACATTTACTCATCAGTCTTCAGAACTAAGTAGCCTTACCGCTGAATTGCCAGTGAAATTGGAACCTCTGGCAATCACACATCAAATATTAGAAAGTCCTGGGAATGAATTAGAGAAATCAGGATGCATGTTAATAACAGAAGATACTTCAGCTGTTTCTAGACATGAATTGCTAGAAGGAACAGAATCTGCAGCAGTAACAAATAAACTTTTGGCTGGTACTGGAAATGAATTCCAGGAAAAACTAGAATCTGAAGCAATAGCAAATAAACCAGTGTCTTGTCATAGAAATGAATTATTAAGAAAACCGGAATCATCAGCAATAGATGGAATATTGGAGAAACCTGTGAATCAGTTGCCAGAAGGAATAGTCAAGGAGCCATTAGATAGCATCTCAAACAAAGTACCTAGGCTTTCATTAGGTGTGGAAGATGTTGAAATTGAAGAAAAAGAACCAGATGTATATATAAACAATGAACATCTAAAAAGTACTGACTTACTAATAAATGTTCCTTCAGAGAATAAACTTAATCTATCTTTTGAAAATGATAAGGAGGAAACTGAAATTAGTACATCCCCCAAGATATGCACTCAAGATATTAAACATTTTAATGAAGATGACAGTGAGATAGTAGCTATGGAATGTGACTCATTTAACTGTGACCAGAATGAATCTCAGCTTGACGAGCCATTAGTGAATGACAATGTAGAGCAGGAAACAAATTTCTTACAAAATGATAGTAAACATTCTGTATCATTTTCAGATCTTGATAAGAAAGAAGCAAAAGAATGTTTCACAGATAAAAAGATACGAACTAGAAGATCACGGTTTCATTCTCCATCAACAACTTGGTCTCCATCCAAACGAGAGGGGAAAAGATCTCAATCCCCGTCTCCCAAAAGGGAAACTGTGGGGGAAGGCAGAATGTCTCGATCTCCCAAAAGGGATATTTTCAAAGAAAGTCAGAGATCTTTATCCAAATCTCCTAAAAGGGATCCTCTAAGATCTCCATCCAGTTCTCCCAGAAGGGATCACCTGAAAGAAGAGAGAGAGTCTCTTCCCAGTTCTCCCAAAAAGGATCATCTAAGAGAAGGGAGGGGTTCCCCATCCAGTTCTCCAAAAAGGGATTCTATCAAAGATGGAAGGAGGTCTTCTCGGGCACGAGCTAAAGAATCCCCTCCAAGGCACAACTGTAGGTCTACCAGTAGGGACAGAGATAATGATAAAAATGAATTTAGAAGAGATAATGAAAGAGAGAGAAGTAGGAGGAGATGGTCACAATCACGATCAAGATCTCGATCCAGGTCCAGGTCCAGGCCAAGAAGCAAAGGGCCTTCATTCCCTAGAAATGAGAGGGATGGTTATTCACCTCCTCGATGGAAAGAAAGGTGGACAAATGACAGTTGGAGAAGCCCCAGAGGAAGTGATAGATATAAAAGAAATGAACAGCAGAAACAGACAGAATGTATGAAAAGTGAAAGAGACAGTGTAAATAAAGATGCAGATATGCAGAGTTCTTCTGATCAGTACAGAAAAGATTATCCAGACTGGGTAATGGAAAGAATAAATTCAGTTCCAGAAACAAGGAATAGAGAAAGAGAGAATTTTAAAAATCAACAGCGGGAAGAAAATAGACATAATAATTCAGGGACTTCATGGAGTGGAAATTATGGATCAGGTTGGAATTCAAATCGTGGCAGAGGCGGCCGTGGCAGAGGCGGGCGTGGCAGAGGTGGTTTCACTTATGGAGACCAGGCTGAAAGTCGCTGGCAAAATAGGAAGCCCCACTCAGGGAATCCAAATAGTTCTGGCCATGAAACTTCTAGATTTCTAGAACATCAGCCATACAAACGTAAAACAGAACAAGATTTCACTTTTGATACGCCTGCTGATAGATCTGGGTGGACATCTGCATCAAGCTGGGCTGTAAGAAAGACTTTACCAGCTGATGTACAGAATTACTATTCAAGAAGAGGTAGAAATTCTTCAAGCCCACAGTCTGTATGGACAAAAGAAGAAGTAGCATCTGAGCAAGGTACTTATTTCTCCTATGCTTCTTAACTCCTGACTGAAAAACCACATGCAGTCCCCAAGTCCCATTTTTACAAATACTAGAGCATCCAAACATCATACTGTTGACATTTAGTGGAAAAGCTGGTTTTCAGTGATTTAATTTCTTTTTATGACGAAACAGGACTGTCAAGTCCCTAAGATACTTAATTCCCAGTTGAGTCTTTAAGCTGTCCAATCCCCTGCCCCAAACTAGTTTTGATTCTTAGAGTTTCAATATGTATATTCAAATACCAGCTTAAAAAAAAAACTTGATAGTCTTGTGTACTATAAACCTATGTACATGCATAAAATTTGGATGAATCTTAAATCATATTGATTCTAATAGATCCTGGATTTGTCCCAAGCAAAACAAGGTGGATCTGAATGATAATTAAGTTGCAGCTTAATACAGGTAGTCCTTGGTTAATGACTGCTCTGTTTAGCGACGGTTCAACTTAAGATCGTGCTGAAAAAGTAGCTTTACAACCGGTCCTTGAACTTAACCACTATCGCAGCATCTCCACAGTTGTGTGATCATGATTCGGTTACTTGGCAACTGGCATGCATTTACAACCATTGCAGCATCCCGCAGTCACATGATCACCATTTGCAAGCTTCATAGTCCGTTTCTGACAAGCAAAGTTAATGGGAAAAACAGCTGTAAAATCATAAGTCATGGTCATGTGATGTTGCACTTAATGACTACAGGTGATGAACGTAACAACCGCAGCAGAAATGACATTGTAAGCCTGTCACAGTCACATAATATTTCACTTAATGACTGTGTTGCTTGGTGATGGAGTTGCCAGCCCCAATTGCAGTCATTAAGTGAGTACTACCTGTAAGTGATTTGGCGTAGAATCTCCAATAAATGCCACAGTAAACCAAATATTTTAATGTGCTAAAGCACTTGATGTATTGAGGCTAATTTTAATAGTGTGTGGGGAGTGTGAGTAAGAGAGAGAGATCAGATATAAGTTTCTCTTTTGTTCAGTTTTATTCATGGACATTGGCCTCTGCTTTCTGGGAGGAGAGGGGTAATATTTTCTATACCTACATTTTAAAAATGTCTGTTCCTCTCTGATAGATCCAAACTTCAAAGACCAAGCCAGCCAACAAGGTGATGCTTCTCAGCTACCAGTAAATGTGTTGCAACCTCAGATGAATGTAATGACACCAGTAAACACACAGCATCAGCCGATGAGTATCTTCCCGTATACAATGGGTGTTCCTACTCCTATTATGAACATTCAACACAATCCATTTAACCTTCCTCCACCAGTGCCCATGCATCTTCATTCAGGACTGCCTCTTGTCCAGGTAGCAGCTTCATCCAGTGTGTCTCAGGGACCACCTCCACCACCACCACCTCCACCTCCATCCCAGCAAATTAACTACATTGCTTCCCAACTTGATGGACAGCAGTTGCAGGTATATTTTTCTGTTGTAAAAAACCCTCCAAACTGTTAATAGGTGTAGAAGTAGGTATCTTGTTTTTAATGCCAAATATTATTTTTATTTATTTATATAACTGGAGACTATATTAGCAATAGAAGGTCACTGAAATCTGGCTACACTCTGGACAAATGAATGTACATATGTATATATGTTGATTTGTTTGCATATGCATACAAATATCAATTTCTGAAGATTTTTTTTTTAGTAAGCAATAATTTTTAATATATTTTCCTACTGTGGAGCCAGGGCATCCTGTAGTATATATTTCTCTCCCCTTTGGCTCCAAGACCAAGCTTAGAATTCTTCTGATTTCTGCTTCCAGTGGGAGATAGCCCCTTTCTGCATTCTGGCCTTGTGTCACTCTAAAGAACATGATTGTTTATGAGCGCTACCAGCTATCCACATGGCCAGGCCAAGTTATAGTAAACAGACACACACAGACACCTCTCTCACCCACCTTTCTTTCCTTTTTCATTTTCACTTGTAGTCCTCAATAGGACCCCATGGCCAGTAATTTCACACTCAGCAGTCCTTGTCCATAGACATCACACACATTATTGTCATTAATTTTTTGAGATGAAACAAGTAGACTAAGCCCCAGCAGTGTGGCAGTGTACCCTTCAATTTTCCACCATGTTTTCCCCAGGGAAATGAAATTAACACAAACAGTGTCAAACTACATGCCACCTGCAACTGTCAGTGGTGTTGTTTCCACTTCTCTGGGAATTTGGATACTCTGACCACTGGAGAGGAAAGAAGCTGAAAGAACCAGATGTCCAGTCCCTCTTCTGCTCTTCACCAAGTGAATCTTCTTGATTGGCTCTACCAGGAAACTATGCCACAGAGGCCCCACTTCATCCTACACCTCAAGAGGCCCTAGGGACAGCCATGGCATCTCCAATTGTACTGCAGCAACTCAAACTTGCTGCACCACCCAGCCATTCCAGTGGAGGGGAAGTACCATCCTGGGGCTCTCCTTGTAGGGGAGGGACAGGAAGGGGTCCCTGGCCTCCCTCTTCTTCCTGAGATTCCTCCTCTCCAGGCCCCCATTGCAAAAAATAAACTCAAGTCCACCACTCCAAGGCATCACTCTCCAGGACATCCTGTTTCCCAAAGCATTTAACAAGAACTTTAAGTCCAAGTGGGGGGTCTCCAGGAGCAGCAAGGTGTGGCATCTCCCTTGCCACCAAACTCTACACCTTCCTGCAGTCAATCCTGAAGCTCTTCAAGACACTATTAAAAGAACTAGTGCACAGCAGTACTGATGTCAGGCCATTGTGAGTAAGGACAGAGAGGATACTCCCAGATAGCCATAGGACAGGAACTGGAATTGATGCAACATAAAGCTACAGCTCTCCCCTGCTACATTTGCCTTTGCCTGAGTTTCTATTTTATGGGTGAAACAACCCAATTCATTCCCCCTTTCCCCCCTCCCTCCCATAAAGAACTCAGAGGGCATGAATAAAATGGCCAAGGTAGTCACCTTCATAGCAGCTGATGGACTAGAGAGTTCTCAGCTAGAGACATATTAGCTAACCTGCAACTGGGAAATCACTATGGTTGAAGACTCATACTTGAAATCAGTGCTGATTATCAGGCCTATTCAAGGATTAGAAACTGTTGGGAGAGACTGTAGGTTGCCGAGTAGAACACCAGAAGAAGTCTTTGCCCTTTCCCCACCAAAAAAAAAGGAAGAACAAGTTCTTTGGGCTACCCCTCTCCTTCCTTTTGCCAGGATATGCTCAAAACAGACACTTGGATCACAAAGTGAACAAGAACATCCAAGGGGGGGAAGGGTCAGTTAACCCCAAAGTAAGGTGCATCAAACCCAACAGAAACCTTCCCCTACCTGATCAGGAATAACACAAGAAATCATGGCTGGCTCAGTTTCCCAGTGGATTCTAACAGGATTAGCCAACCTATGGGCCCATATAACATCAAATGCATGACTCACAGGGCTACACCACAGATGTAGCTACTCCAAGATTATTTCATTCCATCCCTAGTTGACCAAACACCAAATAAACTTGAAGATCATAAATTGTTTCCCAAATATAGATGATCAGGCACATCCCAAAACATGAGAAGTTTTCAAGCTCATACTCCGTATTCTTCATTCTTCCTGAGAAGAACAAAAGTAGATGTGCCATTCTTGATCTGAAGCAGGTGAATGTTTAAGTATTGTAAGTTCCAGATAGAAACCGAGATAACTAATCACATCAGTTCTACGGACCATCCAATCCGATCTCCTGACTTGCCAACTTCCAAGGCTAGACGATCACCTACATAATTTTAATACTGTGGCCAAAATTCCATTTTCAGCCACTGTAGTGAATACTCCTCTCCTTTCTGAAGCTAATATCCCAGGGGTGATTGATGATTCTATCAAAGGTGATAGAAGTGGCTTTTGGAAGCCCTCACCAGGAAGAGGAATCCTTCAACACCAAGTCTGTAGGAGCCAGCCTCAGGCACATTGCTTGGCCACACTGCTCAGGGATCTTGGGCAGAAGAAGAAAGACACAGCATAAACTTTGTTGAGATGAAGCAGCGTGACTAGCTTTCAGCAAGTTCCAGGCTGTTTTTAAAAGTCAGTGTATTATTCTTCTAACAGGCAATGTAACCACCAAAGCCTGCATCAAGAGAGAGGGTGGTAGCAGGTCAAGGCAACTGATGGATGCTGGGCTGAAGAAAACATGCCATCTTTCACGGCAGAACAAATCCAAGAAATCTGCAACATAGTGGCAGATCTAGTTTAGTGATGAAGATCTGAAGCTGAGTGAATGGAGCTTTAATCCCAATGTATTCAATCATTTTGATCTTAAGGAGGCTAGTGATTGTGAACCACAAGGTGGGGTACTTCCTCTCATGTTTTCCGACACAGGGAGCAAAATATTCAGTACTGGCTGATCCAAAGACCTGTGTTTTATTCCTTCCCCATGTTTCCTAATTCCCAGACTCCTGTGATTAATGAGAGATGGAGAAATGGAAGTAATACTGTTAGCTTCCAACTGACCTAGGAGGTCCTGGTACTCAGATATCAACTTATCCTAACCATGAGGGTCCTCACCCCCACTATCAAGCAGAGCCAGGTAGATTCAGCCACCCAGATCTTATCTGGTCACAACTACATGCCTGGGCATTGAATGGAACCAACTGGCCAACTTAGGGTACATCGGTGGTTTATTCAGACAATTTTAGCCTCCCACAGAACTTTCACAATTAACGTATATGAAGTAACATGGTGAGCTTTCTACATATGGGTGATTAAAAAGGGAAGGGGGAATCTCACTAATATCAGCCTCTATCCCAAAGTCCTGACTTTCCTATAGATGGGCAGAGGCAGTGGTCTGCAGTCAATCACTCCTTGCAAACAGGTGTTGGCCATCTCATTGGTTCTAAAACTGGGGAACAAGTCTCTATTAGTCTGCACTCTAAGAGTTCAAAAAGGAATGTCCCTAATAAGACTATCTTCCATGCATTAGTATTTGTCCTCGAGCTTCCATCTAGTGTTTCAAGCCCAATCCTGGCTCTTACATGAGCCATGTATAGAACACCTAATATGGAAAGTGGTATTCCTAATACCTATTACCATCAGCTAGACAGATCTCAGAAATACTGCTCTCTACTAGCCAGACACTTACTCTACCTAAGGCCTCTCTTATGCCCAAAGTGAACTTGGTTTTCCGCTAGGGCCAGGAAATTATGCCCCAAGCCCAACTAGAGAAAGACACACACCAACGGAATGTCAGACAATTCCTTAAGATCTGAGTAGAATAGAATAATTTGGATCATCAGATATCTGGTATCTTTTGAACAAGTTGATCTGGACTGCAAAGCCTCTTTGAAGTGGATTGAGGCATGCTTCAAACTAGCCTACAGAAACGTACAACCTATCCCACAGAGAATCATAGTTAGGAGCATAGTCCACTGGCTGCCTTGAACACAAACAGCTCCTTTGCGAGTCATGGATCCCCATCTCCTCCTTTATTAGACACTACAAGTGTCCATCAGCAGGTGGGTGCTACAAAAAATAATTCCTATCAATCTCAGCCCACCTTCCCACCCCCATATAAATCCTTGCTGTCAGGTACAGTTCTGGTATATCCCACTGAAGGATGCTCTGGCTCTGTTATAGGAAGACAGTAAATAGGATTTATTATGACAATCTATTTTCTACAGCAGAGACATGGCATTCAGCCCACCAGTATCAGGGAAGGAGGAAAATGTGTTGGAGACCCATGAGTGTCTGCATCTAACTGAACAAAATTCTCACATTTATTCCTACTTTTCGTCGTTGTTGTTGTTATTTGGGGGTTTTTTTCTGGCTTATATTTTTGAAATTGAGAAATAGGTTGTCCCTTCCCACAGAAAGGAGGCTAAGAAGAATTCTGCCTCCGAAGCAAATGGGAGGGAGATGCCCTCTACTGGACTGACCTTAATGGCAAGCTCGGTGTATCATTTTTGTTAACTTGATTCCATATAGCCTGATTACTTGATTCTAGAAAAAGAAACGTGTTTGCCCACGTGTGTGTGAGGGGGGTAACTGTTAGATACATTCTTCACAAGAGGTTTCTTTTACATTCATATTTCCAGAAGCATTGAGGGTCAGTTGTTCAGTTTTGCAGTGTTACTATGGTTACTTTTCTGATTACGTTTTCTAGAATTGAAACAATAACAAAGGCAACATTAAACCAGGTCATACTAGCCACACATAGAGTTTGTGGACTGAACTGGCATGTGAGCCCAAGCAGTGAATAAATAAACGAGTAGAAAAAACTACTTGCTTGAGAAAACCTGGCACCAGTATTTGCATGACAGTTCCTCAAGAGGTTACCAAAATGGACAGGATTTTTTAAAATTAAAAGGTAATACTGCCAAGCAGCTCTCTTGCGGCTGCTGTCTTCTCTTCTCCATATATGGGCCTTGTTATCAAGTCTTGGCCTGCAGGCACAATAGGCAAAAATATCCATTCACCTGTTATCTCTTCTTTTGTCATGGGAGTTTTAAAGTTGTGGTGGGGGAATAGGGAGAGTCTTGGCACAGACTGAATTTCATCCAAATTGTTATATTTTCTTTTCAAGAACTGACATGGAAAGGAGATATGCCAGGCTGGGTGTTGTGTGTGATTTTTGTTGTTGTTCTTAATAATTGATGTGTTAAATATCCCAACTTGCCTCCAGGAATTCAAGGCAGCGTGGCGTGCATCTGTTTTATCTGTACAGCAGTAATCCTGTGAGATAGATTGGGCAGAGGGATAGTGATTAGTCCAAAATCATATGGAAACTGCCATGACTGAGTGAACCTGTTTCTCGACAGCATCCCATTACAGCCTGCTTCTGCTTGCCAGTGCTTGCTCTGCTACATCATAAACGCTATTGGGAGGGGGAATATCTAGATCATCTTCATGAAGGGATCTAAATGTTTGCCATAATGCTGAGGTGGCCAGGGTTCCAAGATAGTAAAATAACAAGCCAATAAATAAGGTTCTTCCAACTACGGTTACCTGATCTGGATATAAAACCAGGTTCATGAGGTTTACTGCTCATCACTTTGACTGTTTGATGTTTTATGGACCTTTCAGTCAGCTGCCATTACATCAAGAACCAGCCTCGTCACTGATTTCTTCTTTCTTCATAACTGTCCATAATGGTGCTAATGCATAGGTGATTTTCTCCCTAAACAAGGCCTTTACTTATTTAGGCCACCATTAAAAATGCCTGAGATGATTGGAATGAGGAAACGGGGCGGGGGGGGAAATGTAGGATGGGTCCTCTGCTGTTTACAGCTTGCTGAGCACCACTCTTCTTCAAACACATTGTGTTCTCTTTCAGCTTACATAATATAAGAAACAATCTATATCCGTTGTTTCCCCACCCATTAAGTGTACGTTCTGTAACTCATGTTGGAGATAGCAACATTTGCTTAATGCATTTGCAGTTTAGAATTCTGTGCAGCACTACTGCCTGTAACTAGTTGGACGCTAAATTCTCTTAACTTTTTAAAACAGGCTGTTCCAACTACTTCCCATGTTGCTAACAGCATGAATACAACACACTTGCCTGCTCCAGCAGCAGCTCTGGGGACTGCGGAATCGGTTCAGGGACCAAGTTCGAGTAATGCAACATCATCAAATAACATCAAATCCTCTAATGCTGCTGTAAAATTGATGGAAAGGAAAGTAAATGTAACAGTGGAAGCCAGCGCAGATAGTTCCAAAAAAGACCAGGCAAGTTCAAAGCGAAGAGTAAAATGAATAATTCTGAACTACTAAAATGAGAGAGAAATAATTTTTGTCTTGAAAATAATATTTGCATCAGTCATCCTTATAATCTATTATTTTTCTTTATCATGGGATTTGAGGAATTTGACAATCGGTTTGTATCCTGATGCAAAAAATACATAATGTTAGATCTAATTTGATACTACGTTCTCATGCCACCGTTCTACCTATGTTAGACGTCTGTTTTTTTGAAAAAAGAGAAGATGCGAGTATTGTAAAAGTGGCCTTGCTAACTTGTTGGAATCAGCATTTGCACAGGCAATACCATGTTAACAAGCTTCTTTAGACAACTGCTGATGTTTTGTTCCAGTCGGTTATTGAATAATCTTTAGCCACTTATGGCTAGAGGTGACATGAACAGTCTAATATCCACAATAAATTTTCCCACCAATCAACATATTTTTATTGATTGTGATATATCTCTTCTAGCATTAATGTTATATTTTAAAAAATATAAGGTGATGTGTGTTTTGAAGTCAGGGTTTATGCTCCTATGGAGATCAGCAATTGTATATATTTGAAGTGGGTATTAATCACTTCAAAAAATGTTGATGTGTATATGTTCCCTTTTCCTATATAAGATGCACCCTTTATTTTTTTCTAGAAATTATTAATTCAAGAAAAAGCTGCACAAGAAGTAAAACTTGCTATTAAGCCTTTCTATCAAAATAAAGATATTTCTAAAGAAGAGTATAAAGAGATAGTTAGAAAAGCAGTAGATAAGGTAAGTAATATTGCTAATATCCGACAATGTTTAGCAGTCTGTTTTATTAACAGTTGGAGGCTTTTGAACATAGGAGGTAATAGCTTCAGCTGTTTAATCTAGCTTAGATATATAGTAGACCAGATAGTACATGGTAGATTTGAGCTGTTTTCATCTTCAGGTGTATCCTCTGGATTATGTCAGCAGTATGTTTTCTGTTTTAGCATATGCTGAAGCTGTTACAGGCATTTAGTACATCAGATATTGTTTGTCAGATATGATTACCATTATATTCATCATGTTCTTCCTTTTTGGGGTAAGCAAATTTATATAGAGCACAGGCAAAATTGTACAGGTAGTCCCCAGTTTAAGAATGAGTTCTATTCCCAAGGTCTGTCCTTAAGTTGAATTTGTGTGTAATTCAGAACAGTATTATTGTATTATACTGTATAAGTAGTAGTGTGTATTTAACTCGGATCACTGTGTATTTAACTCAAATTTTGCTACAGTGGGTTCCATTCTTAACTATGGCTTGTCCATAAACCAGGCATTCTTAACCCAGAGACTACCTTTATCCTTGTGAATTATCCTTGCTTTCACCACATCCATGTACTGCTTCATACATAGTCTTTTGTTTTTAAACTTTTCTCTCCTTTTGGGATCTCATTCTCTCCATCCATCCATTACTTTCTTGGTCTTCTCTTTCTCTCAATTTATTCTCTCTTCCTCCATGTACTTGTTTTTTTTTTTTATTTGATCTTCTTTCATTCTCTGTATGTGACCAAATTGCTTCAATATTGTTTAGTACTGTTCTCTCACCTTTGTGTTCAGTCCACATTGTTATATCAGCCACTCATGACCCCGTCTCTTGTCTTACCATACAGTCTTCTTAAACCCAGTCCCAAGAACATTGCTCCATTTACATTTTTCTTGGTATATTCAGTTCTCATTTCCATGTAACAAATAGGCTGAATTTTGTTCTTATGCACAGCTGTTTTCTCTCCTTTCAATAAACATTTATTTCTGGTAACAGGCCACATAGTACCTACTAACTTTCTGCCAACATATGCACATCTTAATGTTTCTCCCTCTATTTTCTCACCTGTAGTGAACATTCTACCAAGTTCACAAATTTACTTGTTCTCATTTTTTTACCATTTTGAATAATTTGCAATAGTTTGCTCCATTTCTCTTATCAAACAAATTGTCTTTGATACATTAATCTTGAGATCCATCTCCTCATTGCATCATGCATTCTAACATTCACTGAAAATCATTAGTTTTTTCAGCCAATGAAATAGCATCATCTCTATATTAAATGTGTGTGTGTGTGTGTGTATTCCTGTCCTTGATGAACACATCTCTAACTTGATTTGATTTGATTTGATTTGATAGTCTGCCTGGCTCCCAAATGACTCTGGGCAGCTTACATAGGTAAAAAGGGAGGAAAAAAACAATTAAAAGAGAAAAGAACATGTACATCCAGACACAATCACCCATTATCTTATAGAAAACCCACCAGGGGCTCAGCAAATGACTTAACCCCATGCCTGGGAGCAAAGCCAGGTCTTCAGAGATTTGTAGAACCTTGTAAGGTGGGAGCCATGGGAACCTGGGGAGGGGGGTACCTTGAATCATTATTCTCACACATGCTTTACTTTCAGTTCCTATCCCATTCAACAGCCCACTTTCAACTCCATTTTTGTCCAAATCTTCCATAATTAAACACTGTTCACTTTATCATACAATTTAACTAAATCAACAAATGTGCAGTAAGCTTTCTTTCTCCTGTTCATGCAAATCTCAGTGATTGCATAAGAGCAAAAATCTCCACATCTATCTTCTGCCCAGTTTAAAACCACACTGCATTCACAGATTTTTCTCCTTGTCACTTTCATACCCTTCTTTCAATCAGAATTCTGCCAAGCATCTTTTCAGGCACTCTGGCACAAAGTCATCCCCCTGTAGTTTTACAGTCACTTATTGTCTTTCACCTAGTGGAGGGCCAGCGTTCTTCCAAAGGCCAGGCACAGATACAGCCCTTGCACAGACTCTATGTTTAACAGGTTGCACAGCTACTCCAAAGCAAACTGCACTATCTATGCCTGTACCATTACCATTTTTCAACAGAATCATTTCTTTTTCATTAATATTTTTGAATATTAACATTTATACCATTCATTTCAATTTCACTGTTTAACACATAATTTGTCATTTCTATACAAATCTCTAATATGCTCCTTCCAGCATTCCCTCGCTACAGTTTCATTCCATTATTTTTATTTTTAATTCTATGCATTATTGGAAGCACCTTCTTTAGTTCTTCTCAGCCACTTTCAAAACAGTTTTTTAAATTGTAACATCAAAGCTGCTGTGAGTTTTGTCTTGTTTAATTTTAACCATTCTTTGCTCTCCTTGACTACCTTCTTTGCAACTGTCTTTTATCTCTGTAGTATCTTTCTCTCATCCTTATTTTTGCAGTATTCTCTTATACACATTTTTCCAAGCTCTTTCATTTCATTCAAAGAAGCATCTGTTTTCAGAGTTCCCATCAGTGTAACCTGATGCACTTCTTTCCCAGTCTGTAACACGCTTATCGCTTTGTTCCAAGCAGATTTCACATTTTGTATTTATGTCCACTTTTATCTTCTAATACTTTTTATATAATTTCTCTTCCTGCACTAATTCTGCTTTTACTCATTTCAATTTTTCTTTTCTTCCATGTCCATTTTTCTCCAAAATCCGCTCTTGACACTACCAAAGATGGTCCATCTGACATTAAGAGCCTCTTGCCAGCCTTATATCTAATTCTCTCAGACTTTCTTCATAAACAATCAAATCAGTTGTGCTTTGATTCATTCCTTTTCCACATATGCACATGAGGGCAGTGTGTGTGTGTGTGTGTGTACACACACACACAAACACACACACACAAACACAGGCGCGCGCGCACACACACACATAACTACATACACCATATACTTGAAACAGATCTTTTCCTAAGTAGATGTTCATCAAAGTCAGCATTCTCATTTGCTCTTGGATCTCTGTATAGTTCAATTACTTACTTGGCATTCTCTCATCGCATTCCAGCCTTCCAGCACGATACCTGAATATTTTTTTTCTGAATCATATTTATTCAGAATTTTATAAAACTTTTCCAGAACTCACCAATGGTTCTTCTGTTCTCACCATTCACTGGAGCCTCACATGCAATATTCACCGATCTATGAATTCCTATCTTCATATGTACCCACAACTAGCTAGATTAAACCAATTCATTCTTTCTGGTATAGGTGTTAACTCTTTCATTCATAATTAAAACTACATCTTCACTTCCCTGTATATATTCATTAGCTCCGCTCCACAAGACCAGCTTCATACTGTTACATCTTCTCCCATTCTCCTAGTTACACTAACAGAGCAGTCTTTTATTATTATTCATGATCTTTACCATTTACTTGTCTTACATTTCACGTTGCAGTCTTACACCCCTACATACTGTTAGCAGTATCTCAGCACACAGGAGATATGCATGCCGTGCCCTTAGTGGCACTTGTCCATTTCCCTAAAGAACAGGATAAGCATGGCAGAGTTTTCCCTCTCCACAAAATATCTCTTCTGACAAACTCATGTCAGAGTTTATTGTCTCGTGTGTGTGTGTGTGTGTGTGTGTGTGTGTAGATATAGACACAACACACACACACACACACGAGTGAATGATGCAATATTCCATGATGGAGTTTGTTTTTTAAATAATACTTTTAACTGTTCTCTTTTTCAATTTTTCATTTAGGTTTGCCATAGCAAAAGTGGAGAAGTTAATTCTGCGAAAGTGGCAAATTTGGTAAAAGCTTACGTGGACAAATACAAACATTCACGAAAGAAAAATCCAGATGAGGCTGTTTCTGTGGAAAGAAAATAAATCTAGAGTGAAAAAATGCCATCAGGATGACTGCGAAGTGCAATTTTGACTTGGACTATTAATTAGAAATAGTGGCTGAAATCTGATTTTGATAAGATTATTTTTCAATATAGTGTATAATGTTTTGTTATAAATAAATATAGATTAATGCTTCAACTTTATCCTTTTGCAAACAGCTATGTAAAAAAGATAAAAGGAATAAAAGACACCCCCCCCCCATTAATAATATACCATTTATTGAATGCCACATGTACAGCATTTTTGGTTCACACAGTCTGTCAGAATACAGAATTTTGGGCTGATAAGTAAAATACATGTGAATCAGGGAAAAGACTGGAGTAGATTTTTCTTTGATTTTCCTGCCACTCTTAAACTCTAGTAAACATTTTTAAAATGTCTCAGTTCATAGGCTCAACGTGTGTGTCTTAAAAGCACACTGTAATTGAGAGCACCTCTTCAACAGCAAAAAAAAAAAAAATCCCTGAATATCAAACAGAGGAGTTGCTGCTGTTTGTTTATGTCTTTTCATTTCTCCTTTTGAGTTGCCAATGTTAAATCCCAGTATGGTTCTGAAAGGCATGGTGCAGGCTTTATCCCAGCACTTCACCTTTAGAGAACTCCTGTTATGTATTATGCAAAAGTCTTTTGCATTACATTTTATATTGGGGTATTCTTTGTCCAGTTTAACTTTTCGTCTGATGTGCTTCAATATAGCATACAGCATACTTCTGATCTTCCAGCCATCTGAAACAAACTTCTGGCTGAATATAGGAGAGGGATTGTATAAGCGACAACCTTAGTCATATTACCTGTGACAGGGTATTAATATTGATTTAGGGTATGCAGTTGTCTGAGGCATATGAAAGAATATTCTAGCAAGGATTGTGCCATGATGAAGGCTGCATAATAGACGATCAAATTCATACCATTGTGTGATTCTGACCTCCTGCTAGTTTATTGCATGAAGCCCAAATGGAGAGTGTTATACTGATCTTAAATATATATAGTGGGTGGTGGTGAAGGTTCCTACCTAAAGGTAGTTCATTAAGCATATTGCAATTATATTTGCAGTCTCTTGCCACTAGCTCTTGTTTCATAAATGAAGAGCTAAGGAAACAACAGGGTTTGGTTTAATATCCGTTGAAACACAATGTAACCACAGTGCAGCAATTGCCTTGCGGTGGCATTTCATTGCAGCGAGTACGGCGGGTTGCGCTTGGCGTCTAGGTCAGTTAAAGGTGTGACTAGGGGAGGCAGCCCACTGGGACGTGTCTTCCTGAGAGCGCGTGTGCTTGTGGCAGGCTCCACAAAGAGGCCTGAGGCAAAGGGGTCGATCAGAAAGCAGGGCACTGTCAAAATTATTAATTCACGTTACACTTCAGACAATGAATTCTTTGCCTATGCTGTGTTGTTTGTGTGACTAAAGGTAATATTTATCTTACAGAGTCTTCAGTGTGGATACTCTTTTTATTTACAGTCAAGCGCTATGTTTTAATCATCTGAAAAGAGTTTTTGTTGGAGTAGCATATATGCTAATGAATTTTCAATCTATTTTTAACAGAACTGGCTGGCACTTTTTGCAAAGTCTGTAGAATGCAATTTGTTTAAACTCACTATTTGCATTTTATATTTACCTGCATTTCTCAACCATTTAAAATCGGAGGGGAATTAGTAGTGGGTATACTGTATGTTGGTTTGATGCATCTGATTTCTCAATGTTTCTGAATTTAGGATCTGCTTCAGAAGTTCATGAAATTTCTCAGACTTGGGTTCCTCGTTCTTTTTCTTTGCTAAGTATAGCTCTTTTGTCTGCACCGGATTTAATACGATTCACAAACCAAAGCTTAAAATCTATGTTTAACCATGGAGTTAGTTTTCTGCTTGATGCAAAATGAACCAGTTTCAGTTTAGTGCTGAAAAGATGAGCAAGAAAATTCCAGTTGAGGTTGAGAAAATCTTCATAATGATTCTATCAGGATTATTATTATTAATGATTAATTATTTTGGTGAGACAATGGATTAGGAAGTTTGCTTAATGTTTTATTCCCATGCCTCTCCAGTGTAATAGCAGCAGGCTTATAGTGAACCTTCACTGTATTTCCAAATGGAATGAAGGGGGATATTGACTAGTATGCTATTGGCCTGTTTCCCAACATGTTTTAAAAAGTCATTCCCTGATATGCAGCCTTTTAAATGATGGGTTTGGGCACACATCACTGTAAGATGCTCTGTTTGCATCAGGTGACAAGCACTTCCTATGTGTCCAGTGGAGGTGATGGGTAGATAGAGATGTGTGGTTTCAAGATGCATCTATTGCTAGATTAAAAACTGCAAGCATAAGTCAGCATGCGTTGCTCTGAGTATTTCTGGGGCTAGTCACTTGGGGCAGAGTGATGGTGTCCAGCATTTTCCCCTCTTACGATCACTTTGTCAATACTGAAATGCTGATTCTTGCTGGATGTCTTATGAAGTATGTATAAGACTGGATTTGGCTAATCTATACTGTTTTTTAAAAAAACAAATGCTCAGTAACACTAGTTTTACCATAAATATATGGAGAAAGCTTGTGCCCAAGTTTAGTAACATTTCTTCCTTATAGTAAGATTGCAATCCTACACGCACATAGGAAATTCAGTTGGTTAATTCACTAGGGCATCTGGAATAGACAGGATTAGCCTGGATAGGCAGAAATTATTTCTGTATTCCTGTGACTGTAGCCTGTATTCAGACTATAAAGCCTGAAACCTTCATTTCTTGGTAGTGTCATTTTCCAGGAGTTTCAGTAATACAAAAGCAAATCCAACTGATTTAAATTGCTATTGGAAAAAAACTGATAATTGACATTTCTTGAAATTGTATTGGGAGGGGGAGAGAAATGGTGCACTGAGCACTCATTCCAGTCTTTTGGTGTGCATGTGGCTTAAATGTGTCATGATTTTAAATATAGAAAAATTAAAATCAGGATCACAGTGGCTGATGTAATTCCAGGCTATGGTGTCTGTAGCATAGGGCTGGAATAAAATCTACTGAAAACAATATTCTAAAGAGTTTTATGTAGTTCAAAATATTTTCTAATAAATTCTTTTGACTAAGCTGGAATGAGTTTGCCTCTTCTTAAATTGTACTGGGTTAGAAAACTGGATTTTCCCCCTAAATAATAATTTATGAAACTTGCACGCCACCCAACTTTCAACAACTGGGTGGCTCACAACAATCACTGTGTGCCAGCCAGTGGTGTGTAAACTAGGTATTGTACCATCTCTGTTCTGTGGAGGCCAAATAAGGCTGGTCTGGCTTAGAAACCCTGTCCCTTATAAGAAGCAAGTATTGGAACCCAATTTCATGGTATTTGGAGTATGGGGAAATGCTTCAAAAGTTAATATGAATGACATTGGCTATTTTAATAGCACTGTGTTAATGGCAATGAAGAAATTTGTTACCTCTAATTGTGGTTCTGTGCCTATACGTAGCTCATTTGGAATACTTAAAAACCTGAGAGTTTTGGTGGCAGCCCCAATGTCTCTACAGCATAAAGATTCTCTCTATTGAGCTAGGCTTCCACCATTCCCTTCAGTTCTCTTCTGAGTACCACTGTGTTATATCTTCTACTTTTTTTCTTCTTTTTTTTCTTTTTTTTTGTGGTCCAGCACGGGCTTTTAGGGCCTTGTAGATACCCTTCAGAAAGTGCCAGCACCTACTGTCTTTGGACAGCCACTCATGCTTTGTTTGGATGAATGGCATGATACAGTACTGAAAACCCATTACTTCCAGGTTTTCATGGACTAAATGCATGTAAATATGAAAGAGGGTTGGGAGTTGGAGGTACTGTTTTATGATGCTGCCATTCTTACTAAGTGAAATTTCAGTTATCATGGGAGGGACAGGTCAGGCCCTCGGGTGCTGCTTTATAGGACACCTTATTGTGTGGCTTTATTCCCTATCCTGCTTAATAGCTATACGAAGCCATAGGGAGAGGCCATCCACTGGTTTGGACTGAGATATCATCAGTATGCCAATGCTATCCAGGTATAAATTCCCATCCCAGGCTGAATGGGGGATGCAGTGGAAGTCCTAACCCAGTGTTTAGAGGCTATCAGAGCCTGGATGAGGAATAACAAGCTATTAATTCAGATTCTGGGGTTATACAATTTTTTACTTTCAGTGTAATAAGGTTCTCCCTTGAAGAGTAGACCTGCACTATAGTGAGCTTCTTGGACTCATGCTCTTACTGGAACAACAGGTGGAAGCTTTGGCCAGGCAGGCCTCTGCCAAGTCAGATTGGTCTAATTGCAGCCTAGAATAGGGGATGCTGAAGATAGTTGCACACCCCCTTGTTGTTTTCCATAAAGGTCATTATAATGTGCTTAAGATAGAGCTGCCCTTGAAGACCACCCAGAAACTTCAACTGGTGCAAACGTGCAGCAGCTTAAACATTTGATGGATAGTCATTGCTGCCATATTAACACCACTGTTGCATGAACCACATTGGCCAGTGACAAATTTCTGAGTGCAATTCAAGGGGTGATTATCACCTGAAAAGCCTTAAATGGCTCAGAACCTGAGCTTCTTCAAGATTATCTATTCCATGTAGACTCTGCCTGCCCAATCACAAGACACAAAGGCCTTCTGAAATAGGTTTTACAAGCTCTGGGAAGACCATGGAAATAGGAAGTGGACTGCAATTGGAACCAGCAACACTGCTGCTAAGTGACATGGTCATTAAATAAAACAACATGTGACTGCACCCATCTTATATCAGTTCCACTATGGTTGTTAAGCAAATCACCCGTGATTGTTAAGTGCAATGTCACGTGACCGAGACTTAAATGCCAGTTTCCCCATTGACTTTGCTTGTCAGAAGCCAGCTGTGAAGTTCACAAATGGTGATCGTGCTGCAACTTTAAATTTGAGGACCATGGGATGCTATGACTGTCATAAATGTGTGCCAGTTGCCAAGCGCCCAAATCGCAATCACATGACTGCAGGGATGCTGTGACAGTTGCAAGTTTGAGGGCTGGTTGTAAACCTACTTTTCAGTTCCGTCGTAATTTTGAATGGTCACTGAAAAAGGCAGTTAGTAAATAAGGACTACCTGCACTCAACAAACTATTGCATTGGTATTGGTTACATTTTTATTCTTCTTTCTTTCCTTTGCTTCTTTTTCTTTCTTCACTTTTTTATTGATACCTTCTCTGGGTATAAGTAATTTTGTCTACCTCTTTGCCAAAAAGTTTTCTCAAAACTAAATGATTTCCAGATCTTCTTGGACTTCAGCTCTCATTGACTACACTAGTTGTGGATTATGGGAATGAATGCTTAGGTGTAGTCAGTGACCAGTGATCCCTTTTAAGCGATGACACTTTAATTTAGCCTTAATCTTGTAACTATCCTATTAATCCTAAAAGCAAATTACAATTATGCACTTTACATATTGTAGAGATACTAAAGAAAACCATTCAGAAACTTCTACTGCTTTAGAATGCAACTG